TAGTAAAGTACTAAACTACTAAAGTAGTAAACTAGGAAAGTAGTAAATTAGTAAACTACTAAACTAGTAAAGTAGTAACCTACTAAATTAGTAAACTAGTAAAGTAGTAAACTACTAAACTAGTAAAGCAGTTTAGTAGTAAATTTGTAAACTAGTAAACTAGTACACCAGTAAAGTAGTAAATTAGTAAACTAGTAAAGTAGTAAACTAGTACACCAGTAAAGTAGTAAACTAATAAAGCAGTAAACTAGTAACCTACTAAACTAGTAAATTACTAAACTAGTAAAGTAGTAAAGTAGTTAAACTAGTAAAGTAGTGCTGCTGTTTCTGTTATAAAACCCTGATTGAAAACACTTTCTCATTCTTATCTGATGAATAAAATCCCTCCTGAGGTTCTAATACTTCCCTCTGGAATCAGTGTGTTTTGGTGTTTGTGGTAAAACATTGTTTTATTTTTAATAATCAGAACCTTTGACACCAAGTCCACCATTAACCCTGAAGAAGTGAAATAACGTCTCTGTGGTCGGTTTAGTTGGAGCTTCACAGAGAAACTGGTGAGATAAGGTGGCCACTCATTAACTCCACTCTTTACGGTTCCTCTCTCCTTACAGGAGGCAGGCGGCAGACTTTTATGTGGAACATCAGTCGAAGCCTTTCTTCAAGTGAGTGCCGGTCAATGATTAGCCGGCTGAGAGCCGATGGATCATTAACAGAACCGGAGTCACATTCAGACACATTTAACAGAACCGGAGTCACATTCAGACACATTTGACAGAACCGGAGTCACATTCAGTCACATTCAGACACATTTAACAGAACCACAGAGTCACATTCAGACACATTTAACAGAACCGGAGTCACATTCAGACACATTATACTGGACGTTCTCTGACTATGAGTTCAGTTTATTATGTGAAGCAACAGAAGACTCAGAAGACTTTCAGTGCAAATTATGTACAAATCACACATAAATAAATAGAAGTGTTGGAATAATCTGTAATATTATAATATTATAAAATGTTAATATTATATGGAGACTTCAAATAAGCCCAGTTGGCTTTTTGCCTCTTCCTGCACTGTGATATTATTTATCTGTTATGTTTGTTTATTTTTATTGTATTGTTTAAATTGTGCAACTAAACTAAACTAAAGTAAACTAGCTCCACTAACATGCTTCTCGTTCCAGTAACCTGGTCCAGTTTGCGTCCTCGGGCCCCGTGGTGGCCCTGGAGCTGATGGGGGACGGGGCCGTGGCCATCTGGAGGAGGCTCCTGGGGCCCGCCGACTCCTCGGCGGCGAGGAAGGAGGCGCCACAGAGCGTCCGAGCTCGGTTCGGAACCGACGGCCTCAAGAACGTCGGCCACGGCTCCGACTCGCTGGCTGCAGCCGCGAGAGTAAGAACGTGAAATCAGAGCTTTATTGGTGTTCTGATTTATGCACCTTAACGTTTTTCATTCTGTCTCTTGCATCAGGAGCTGGAGTTCTTCTTCCCGTCCACCGTCGGCCGTGGTCCCTCCAACACGGCCACGTACTCAGACTGCACGTGTTGCATCATCAAACCTCATGCCGTATCAGAAGGTACGGACCGCTCTCTATTTGTGGAGGTTATTATCACCGCGGTGAAACATTCCTGAGTGAGGCCGACCACATCGGGCCGCTGGGTTTTTCCAAATCCCTAAATCTCATCCCGGGGGGGGGGGCATGCCTCTGGAGCTGTGACCTGTGAAATGTGCTCACAGAGAGCTGAAGGACTCGTTTGATCTGGAGAGCTTCTCCTCAGTCTGCTATCTGATCTGGAACCAGCTCACTTTCCATCAAGTATCTGAGCTCTCGGTGTTCTTTTCTCTATTTTTAGCCTCACGAGTCGCTCACTGTGGGTGTAAGGACTCTTTTTCTACAGCGCCACCACCTGGTCAAGTGACCTGTTACTTTATCTTCATGACTGGAACACCTGAGATGGTGGTTAGCATCAGCGTGTTAGCATTTAGCTCAAAGCAGAGCCAGCATTGCTGTAGTCTCCTTCTTATGTGTAAAGACCTTTCTCCCAGCAGGACCCCGTTTTTGACCCCGTCAAAATAAAAGCCCTTTATGTTGTGCTGTAGGTGTGCCGGTGATCGAGCCACACCTACATGGAACGAAGCCATCGTTGATGTTGTTGCTGCTGCTTTTCCTGCTGGGACAAGTCTAAATCTGTGCCGTGAGAAAGTTCTATGAGAGGGTGACCCAGTGAAAGCTTCTTTGTTTGGCTGCAGGGCGGAATGAGTTGTTACTGTTACACCACATGAATGATGAAATCTCTCTTAGTCTATTAAAAACAAACTGCCACGAGACATTTTTAATTCCAGCTCTCTCCTCGATGGTGAAGTACATTTCATTTAAACATTTCTAGGTCTGTAACTTTATGAATCCAGCAGTTAGTCTGAGCCCGTCGTGGTCTGATGGTCTTTGGTTGAACTGACATCATTTTAACAGCTGCTGTCGCCTTAAAGGAGCAACATACCAGATTGGGAGCATTTTCGATTGCCTCTCAATGGCTCTCAACATGGCGACGCCTGAGCCGGTGGATCACAACTAACGGTGCTAATGGTGCTATCAGGACCGTCTGCAGAGACTCAGGCTACGATCCACAGGCCAGTTTAAACAAAGCATCCCAGAGTTTACCTGAGGAGCTGAGATCACAATGAAGATAGATGAGGTCACAGCGAGGGCACAAGGAAGTAGTGAAGCTCCTCCGGCCTGTGAGCCAATCACAAGACGGCCTCGAGTCTTTCATTCATGCTAACGTTGCTTCATACAAAAACAAAACGGGTGTTAAACATTTCATTCCACGAGGTCGACAAAAGTCTTAAATGTCACCTGTTGAAACCTGCACACACACACACCTGTGTGTGTGTGCGTGTGTGTGTGTGTGTGTGTGTGTGTGCTTGTTTGTGTGTGTGTGTGTGCGTGTGTGTGTGTGAGTGTATGTGTGTGTGTGCTTGTTTGTGTGTGTGTGTTTGAGAGTGTGTGTGTGTGTGTGCTTGTTTGTGTGTGTGTGTGTGCGTGTGTGTGTGCGTGTGTGTGTGTGAGAGTGTGTGGGTGTGTGCGTGCTTGTTTGTGTGTGTGTGTGAGAGTGTGTGTGTGTGTGCGTGTGTGTGCTTGTTTGTGTGTGTGTGTGAGAGTGTGTGTGTGTGTGCGTGTGTGTTTGAGAGTGTGTGTGTGTGTGTGCTTGTTTGTGTGTGTGTGTGTGTGTTGAAGATCATTTTGGAGGCCGAATTACACTCCAGCTCTCCAGCCAATCACAGCGCTGATAGAGTCGTGTCTGATAATCACTCAGAGTCGAGCAGCTTCTGTTGCCAGGCACCCAGAACTGGGTCTCCTAGCAACAGCACCAGCTGGTGGGGGGGGGGCACAGAGGTGGTTACTTACCTAACACACACACACACACAGTAAGAGAGAAATTCATCACAGCAACACACCGATGAGAATAACCTTCATCATCTTCTTCGTCTGTCTGACTGTCCTTCACTGTCTCAGTGTCTCTCTCTGTCTGTCTGTCTCTCTCTGTCTGTCTCTCTCTGTCTGTCTGTCTCTCTCTGTCTGTCTCTCTCTCTGTCTGTCTGTCTCTCTGTCTGTCTGTCTCTCTCTCTCTGTCTGTCTGTCTCTCTGTCTGTCTGTCTCTCTCTCTCTGTCTGTCTGTCTCTCTCTGTCTGTCTCTCTCTCTCTGTCTGTCTCTCTCTGTCTGTCTGTCCAAAGGAGACGACCTGAGGGTCAATAAGAGAGTCATATATATGTATGACATATCAGCATGACGCCTCCTTCAGGAATAATGATATTGAATACAGATAATAAATAGTGATGAAGAGTTGATGTGTTTCACAGGTCTGACGGGGAAGATCCTGAACTCCATCTCAGAGTCTGGATTTAACATCTCAGCACTTCAGATGGTAAAAAACACAAAAAGAACAACACGTCCTCGTGTCTCCGTCCTCGTGTCTCCGTCCTCGTGTCTCCGTCCTCGTGTATCCGTTCTCGTGTCTCCGTCCTCGTGTCTCCGTCCTCGTGTATCCGTCCTCGTGTCTCCGTCTTCGTGTATCCGTCCTCGTGTATCCGTCCTCGTGTCTCCGTCCTCGTGTCTCCGTCCTCGTGTCTCCGTCCTCGTGTCTCCGTCCTCGTGTCTCCGTCCTCGTGTCTCTGTCCTCGTGTCACCACTATGTGTCCGTATTGACCGGTTGACCTCATTACCAGAGCTGACGGTGACCTCGTGTCTCTGTCCTCAGGACACCGATCGATCGATCAGGTTTCTTCCGTGTCGCCTCACACAGAGCTCTGATGTTATTTATGGGATGGAATAAAGAGTCACAGCCTTGAAGCTGTAGATACGCTGGTGTTTGTGTGATGATGGCGGCGTAAACACTAACACACTATTTACATTTCATTCATCAACATTCCTTCATGTTCTGCTTTCTCCATATTTCATCATCTTTCCTCCTCTCAGTTCAATGTGGACCGGGCCAACGCAGAAGAGTTCTACGAGGTGTACCGAGGCGTGGTCAGCGAGTACCCTGTGAGTAGAGAACCCGTGGTTCTGTGAGTAGAGAACCCGTGGTTCTGTGAGAAGAGAACCCCTGGATCTGTGAGTAGAGAACCCCTGGTTCTGTGAGAAGAGAGCCTGTGGTTCTATGAGTAGAGAACCCCTGGTTCTGTGAGTAGAGAACCCCTGGTTCTGTGAGAAGAGAACCCCTGGATCTGTGAGTAGAGAACCCCTGGTTCTGTGAGAAGAGAGCCCGTGGTTCTGTGAGTAGAGAACCCCTGGTTCTGTGAGAAGAGAACCCCTGGATCTGCGAGTAGAGAACCGCTGGTTCTGTGAGAAGAGAACCCCTGGATCTGTGAGTAGAGAACCCCTGGTTCTGTGAGAAGAGAACCCGTGGTTCTGTGAGTAGAGAACGCCTGGTTCTGTGAGAAGAGAACCTGTGGTTCTGTGTTTGTTGCTCTGTGAAGGTTCTCCTGTAACAGACGTGTGGGTCCTCTCCCTGCAGAACATGGTGACCGAGCTGTGCTCTGGACCCTGCATGGTTCTGGAGATCCACAGCACCGACGCCCCTCAGGCCTTCAGGAGGTTCTGTGGACCTGCCGACCCGGTGAGTCCTCTTTAGGTCCTTTAGAACACCGATTCTCGACTGGTGGGTCGCGGACCTATTCTCAGTGGGTCGCGGACCTTTGCCTGAAAAACAAATAAAAAATCTTGTGCTTTTATTTTGAAGGTGAGTTTTTATGCAGCAGAGTGGCATCCATTCACACTCCTTAACAATATTTGGCGTTAATGCCAAATGCTAATATCAGCAGAGGATAATCTGAAAACTATACCTCTGTCAAATGACACAATAAGTATTGAATTGAAGACATGTCGGATATATATATATATATATATATATATATATATATATATACAGTCGAAGGACTGAAGGACTGAAGGACAGATTTCCTTCAGTCCTTAATCACAAAGTCACCGAGGTTACTCCCACACAACAGGAAGCCAGTTAATTAGCTAATGATTTCCAGGTCACATGACCGTAAAGCAACAGCAGCTCATTGATGCCAAAGTAATGAAGCCTCCGGTCGGGTTTCTGCTGTCTACACTTAAAGCAGCTACCAGGAACTTTCATGCTGCGGTGAAGTCGGCGCCCCCAGTGGACAACAAGCGGTAGTGTTCTCCCAGAACACTACCGCTGGTAGCATTGTAGCCGCTGACAGCATCATAGCATCGTAGCCGCTGATAGCCTCGTAGCCGTTGATAGCCTTGTAGCTGCTGATAGCGTCGTAGCATCGTAGCTGCTGATAGCATCGTAGCAGCTGATAGCATTGTAGCCGCTGTTAGCCTCGTAGCATCGTAGCCGCTGTGTCTGATGTTCATGTCGATGATCAGTGAGCTCCAGGTTCTGAGAGCTGAAATAAGAAAGTCGTCGTCTCAGATGACCCAAAGTCCCCAGGGTTCCTGAACCTATCAGCACCACCGATCAATAGAACCAGGAGTCTCTGATGACCGTGGACCCCGTTGAGGTTCAGCTGGTCTCTGATCAGTTTTAACTAAAGTATCACATGAAGGTCCCGTTCTATATTCAGTACGAGCTCTACATGTTCTATATTCAGAGTGAATTAATTATTCACATGGGGGGGTCAAAGAGCCCAGTTTGGCCTTGAGAGGGGTCAAAATACTTCAGATAAAACTACAGAGTAGTATTTATAAGAACAGAACCTGCTGGTGGTCCGTCTCATTTCCTGTCTGCAGGTCACACAGCTGCTGAGTCATCACAGAACAGGATGTTCATCTGAACGTGTCATCACATTTACTTCCATGTTTATCACCCTGATAAGAAGGAAGTACTCTGAGCCTCTACTGCAGTACAAATACTAGTACCACACTGTGGAAATACTACAAGTAAAAGTACTAGTACCCCACTGTGGAAATACTGCAAGTAAAAGTCCTTCAGTTAAAGTAGAGGTAAAGTATTTAAAGTAAAAGTATTCAATGCAGAAAAATGTTTAAAAAATAAAAAAAAAAAAAAAACTCAAATGATTCAAAATAAATTAGAATATAACTTTCATCAAAATAGTTTATAATTGATTAATTGTACTGCTTTATAATGAAGCATTACATTTGATAAACTCTTTATATGTTTTGTGTGTAAAATGAATTAAAGCGGTCAGATGAATGTATTTGAGTAAAAGTACTTAGTTACTTCCCACTAAGTGGAGGAATCATGTTTCAACAGGAAGTCTCCAGACACCTCCGCCCCTCGTCTCTGCGAGCGCTGTACGGCAGAGACAAAGTGAAGAACGCCGTCCACGTCACAGACCTCCCCGAGGACGGCGTGCTGGAGGTGAGCGGGCATCGCCCGATCCTCAGAAGGACACGCCCCCTAACCTCTGACCCCACGAAACAACGACGTCGCTGTGAGAACCAGCGTGAGCCGAGTCGGACAGAACAACCTTTTGTTCCACACGTGACTTAACTTTAACTCGTTTCTGTTCTCAGGTTCAGTATTTCTTCAAGATTCTGGATGGATGACAAACACACAGGAAGCTGCAGAAGAAGACGTGACAGTTGACTCATGTTTCTGTTTATTGTTTCAGCCTTATGCAGATTAAATAAAGTGTTTGATCTTCAACATTGAACACACCGACTAAACATGTCATTACACGGTAAACGCCTCCGATGTCCTCTCAACTTTTTTTTTTTTTTAGACCAGCGACTTTGTTTTTTTTTTGATTCATACATTACACTTTGAAAAAAATGTACAACTGCATAAATATAAAATTCTTCCACCATGAAAATGGTTAAAACATTCAATAGTAAGTTGCATCACGTCGTGTGATGTCTCCAGCAGAAACGGATCAGAGTTGGAGATGACCCACAAAGCTCTACACTACCAGTTAAGAAGGAACAGAAGAAGAATGCTTCCATGGAGTCAGTCAGAGGGTCAGAGTACCATGCCAGTATTCAGTTAGAGCACATTAACACACACACACACACACACACACACCCCCCCACCCACCCACACACACACACACCTTGGACCACTGAAGCGGACATAAGACGGAGCACAACAGGACTCTGAGAACACCTTCAGGATGAAACACTGAGGACACAAAGAGCTACACGTCAGTAGTGGAGTTACAGTAATAGATGAACACATGGCTCGAGGAATATTCTCATGTACAATAGAATAAATATTTGCTATTGCTACTCTTGTATTTTACATTCTAACCCTGGACACACACACACACACACACACACATGGAGAAGCTAGTGTAAAGCACACAGATTAAGTGTAGGTCCTGTATATGATGAATGTTCAAAGACTAGTGGTGTTTATCTCAACTCTTTTATTCTCTCTACAATGTGTCGGTGTCAAAGTGAGAGACGGTCACGAGGCGATGGTGAACTTGACGTCGAAGCGTCCCTGGTAGCGGTCCTTCTCGCTGTAGCCGATGTTGCCTCCGAACACTTTGCACTCGATGCGGAGCTCCGTATCCAGGGTCAGGTTGGTGAACTGGATGGCCACCAGCGGCTGCAGGTACTGGGGGTGCAGCAGCTTTCCGTAGTACGGGTAGTACTGCAGAGGGAAGCCTTCGCCCAGACCAAAGTACTTGATCGGTCCGATCTTGCTCTCGTCCTCGTCTCTCTGAGGAACACCAACGGAGGGTTTCAACTCAACGTCTCCTCACTGTGTTAACAACAGAGAGGACGAGACCTACCTTGTTCTTGCAGAAGATGGGGATCAGGTTGGGCTGAGTGCTGGTCTGAAGAGGCCCTGGGAGAGACTGGTTGTCGGTCGGAGCCTGAAACCAGAGAGAGAACATCCCGAGTGTGAGGTCACGTGGTTTCCCATGATGCAACGTGTTCATTCACAACAGCAGCAAACATCATAGCGCATAAACCAGCACAGTTCTGAGTAGTAATTCAGTAACAATCTGTGATATTAATAACTATATCAGGAGTAAACAACTCTACCGGTTTAAGGTTCAAATAAAAACTAAAAGGATCAAAATCAATGCAGCAGAACCAGAGATATCCTCTTTTATTACACTATCTGCTGCCTACATTACCCACAATGCAGCTGTAACCGCCGCCAGTGTTATGCTAGTATTAGCTTCAAGGGACCAAGTGAATGCATGTAAATGAGGCTACTTTTATAATGTGACACATAGAACCAAGAAGAATCTCCTTTAATCTGATTCTTCATGAGACGAGGACTAACATCAGCTGACGCTTCACATGTTTAACTTCATGTACACGTGAACACAACAGTCTTCATGTTCTAACATCTACATCACGTGACTCAAGATCTCCAGATGATTTGTGTTTGTTAGACCGACCTTTGGCATGAAGTTGACGATCCTGTTGAGCTTGACGATGATGCACGGCATCGCGTCCTTGAAGCCGTAGTTCGGGTCGCTCTCTCCGGAGCACCTGCTGAGCCAAGTCCGTTTGAAGCGACACGCCTTCCTCTGACCCAGGTCTTTCTCAATGGTGCCTCGGTCCTTGTAGCTCAGAGGAGACTCTGAGAAGAAGGAATAATAATAAGATATTATTAACAATAAGATAATAATCAGGGATCAATACAGCAGCCACTCTGTGATTGGCTCATACTAACCTCCACAGTCCTCGAAATTGATCTGGTCGGTCTGCCGGGCGTCATCGTACTTGGTGAGGAACTCCTCCACAGCGTCCACGTACTTCTTGTAAGAAGCAGGATCAGACACTTTGTACGCGATCTCAGACTTCTCTGAACGTGGCGTGTGAGACAGACCTGAAGACATAAACTCAGGTTTAATAAAACATAACACGGGTTTAATAAAAAGGAAAATATGGATTCTTAAAAGTTCAAATATTCAAAATGAAAGTGTTGTATTAATTAAATAAAGTAAACTATCGACTCTCATAGAGTTCAGAGTTTTTAATAATATTAATATTAATAATAAAGATAAAGTAAAGTTAAAGTGTCTCTGCATTGAGGTGCATCACATCAGACTCTAAACACTCTGAGGTCTGTATGAGTCTTTATGGATTTATGTCTCTGTACTTTTCCACAGACGTAGAGCTCGAGGCCTCGTTGAGGCGTGGCATGAACAGAGCTGAGAGGAAACCTTTCTCTTTTTTCTCCCAGCAGCCTCTCTGTTCGATCGTTGTTTGTTGCTATAGTTGTGAGCGTGTTGTGTGAGCAGCACCCCTCCCCCACTCTCTCACAATGGAAACTTTTAGAGTGAGAGGAGGGCTAAGCTAACTACTGCTGCTGCTTCCTTTATCTAGAGCTAACTACTGCTGCTGCTTCCTTTATCTAGAGCTAACTACTACTACTGCTTCCTTTATCTAGAGCTAACTACTGCTGCTGCTGCTTCCTTTATCTGGAGCTAACTACTACTGCTGCTTCCTTTATCTAGAGCTAACTACTACTACTGCTGCTTCCTTTATCTAGAGCTAACTACTGCTGCTGCTGCTTCCTTTATCCAGAGCTAACTACTGCTGCTGCTTCCTTTATCTAGAGCTAACAACTGCTGCTGCTTCCTTTATCTAGAGCTAACAACTGCTGCTGCTTCCTTTATCTAGAGCCAACTACTGCTGCTGCTGCTTCCTTTATGTAGAGCTAACTACTGCTGCTTCTGCTTCCTTTATCTAGAGCTAACTACTACTGCTGCTGCTTCCTTTATCTAGAGCTAACAGAACCAGGTCCATGAACACAGACGTTCTGTTGTCTACGGTCTGAGACTAACAGAACCAGGTCTATGAACACAGACGTTCTGTTGTCTACGGTCTGAGACTAACAGAACCACGTCTATGAACACAGACGTTCTACTGTCTGAGACTAACAGAACCGGGTCCATGAACACAGACGTTCTGCTGAACGTTCAACATGGGCCGAGCACTTCTGGCCCATTTCAGGCGCTCAGAATGAGACCATTTGATTATTCACAGATTAGGATTTTTTCCTGCAGAAAAACAAGCTTAGAGGTCTGAGCTGAGACAGAGTGGTTCTACTGACTAACACCACCACAGCTCACAAGGGGGGGGGGGGGGGCAGTGAAGGACAAAATGGCTGAAGCTGATCTGAGGTCAGTAAGACGGTCTCTTACCTGGCGGGGCCACCCGGTCCTGGTAGGTGGGTTTATAGTTACTGAGCGTGAGCAGCAGAGCCTGGATGGTCCCGATGAAGATCCCGGCCAAGCATCCGTAGAAGATCACGTAAAACAGGAAGATCTTCACTGCAGAGCAAACCATGGGGTTACAATCATCATAATTCATGTTTCTATCATTTATGAAGAAAACCTGCTGAACATTCACACATGCGTTCATTCATTCATTAATGAGTGAATGAAGAAGCAGCAGAGCCTTTATAAATGAACATGAAGCTGTAGGTTGGTCATTAAAGGGTGAAACACAGGAGACATTTTGTCTAAAGATAAAGTGTTTCTGTAACACGACACAATCTACTAATCTTTTTTGAGGGGGGGGGGGGGGAATCCTATAAACCGACAGATTTCCTCCCCGTGTGTTCACTGATGATGTTGTGGAACCGTCCCAACATGCCTTCCCACTGCCAGTCTCATGTCCAAAGGTGCGAGTGTGGAACCAGTTTGGTGGGTTGGGAACCGGTTGGACTCCACGTGTCTGATCTGTTTCTATCAGTTTTTAATGTGTGGAGACACACCGTCCTGGTTTTCATATTCCAACATGGCTGCTGCTCGTCACCTGCTGCAGGCTTCCTGTGTGACGCACCTGTTGGGGGGGAAACTACACGCGGTGTGTTCTAGTGCTGCAGGTTTCTGTATGATGATGATCTGGAGAAGGCTTTCCTCTTGTGTGTTCCAGCACTGATCTCTTCAGTCTGTTAACAGTGTTAAAGCTCTACAGGACTCACTGGATCATGTGAGACCAACACAATGTAAATATGTGGGAGGACAGACAGTCAGACAGACAGGATGGAGCACCTCCCCCACCAGACGGCTGCTGCATGGCTGCTCTGCAGCACATTTATCAAGTGGTGGAGGACAGACACCTGTCTGTCTGTCTCACTCTGAAGCTCATTTCAAATAGAAACACCTTCACTTATTCTATTAAAGGTCCGTTTCAGCAACTCAAGGACACACAGCAACCTGTTGCTTTCCACAGAGCAACTCGCCCTCTTTTTAGTTGGTGCGACACATCGCCCCCCCCCCCACAGTCAGCCTGTAGTAGTAGATGCAGTATAAGTACACGAGGAGAAGTATTACTACACTAATCACATGTTTCAGTTCCTGTAACTTAGAAGTATAAACCGTGTTGCCATGGAGACACACGTGCTACCAGAGACCCGTTGAGTCCTCTCGAGAATAAACCGCCGAAAACCAGAAAACCACGTCGTTCGGTTCGGTTGGACTCGGAGATGGAGGTGTGTGTGTGTGTGTGTGTGTGTGTGGTGGTGGGGGGGCTCTGGAGACTCGTGAGTCGTGATCAGCTCCGTGTTACCGTGTTACGGTGTTACCGGGCAGCGTCTAGAGCGCAATCCGACGTGATTTACACCGTTTATAATGAGATAAACGGTTTAACGGGAGCTTAACGGGGGGCTGAGTGATCCCATCAAAATGAACTTTAAAGTACTGAACTCGAGTATTAATGAGCATTACAGAGGCCACAATAACATCATTGCTGTGAGGAGAACACGTCCTCTGGTTCTCCTCTAGTCCTCTCACCGGGAGACTAGGACACAGACATAGAACACACAGACCTGTAGACCAGTAAGAGAACAACTTAGACCACCCAGAGGAACAACTTTCTCCCATTGGTGTCTACGGGAGAGTCCCGGTCTACGGGAGAGTCCCGGGCCCACCGCGGCCCGTCCTTCAGCGTGACCTTTTCATAAAGGACGTGTATTAATGATTAATGGATCAAATGATCCGGACTACGCCTTCAGGAATCATTTACTATGAACCATTGAAGCAAAGCGTCCCAACTCTTTACGACCTTAAATGTGAACAAATACTGTGATTTACAGCGCGAGTTAATTGCGTTTTAAAACCTCTAATTCGCTTTATTTTTTACCTACATTCGACCTGTAACGCGTGGAAGCTCAAACTCGTTAGTGCGTGTCGTGTTATTTACCGAGATTTAAACAAAGAACAACTTCTTCTTCGTCGCCTCCATTGAAAAGCGGAGTCACGACGCAGCAGCATGTCGGATATCTAACAGGTGCTGTTAGTTCACACAGGAAACACTCTTCTTTAACCTCCATCTTCGTTTCTCTGACTTTGTGCCGCCATGAAGGTATAACATATAAAAGGCGAATAAAAGACTTACACCAACTGCTCCCGGTTCGTCCCAGAAACTCCTTCTTCTCTGAATTCCACACAAATGTCCTCCAGCCGCCGTCGCTGTCCTTGTTCGCCGACATCGTGGGTTAACGTGATTTAACGGTTTTAACGGTTCTAAACGGTTAGTTCGTGGTGTAGCTCAGCTTGTCAACTTGTCCCCGACAGGAAACGCGAAAGGACAGCTTCGTACCGTACTCTTCTAATACACCCGCACTCAATAAATGTATGCCTCAAAGACACACCGGCTCCGCCTGTAAAAACTCCTGTAATAAGTTATACCCCGCGAAGAGGGAGGGCTGAGCTCAGCCAATCACGAGCCAGCCTCTGCCTCTGCGTAAGCGGGAAAACGAAGGAGGGGTGTAGGGGGAGGGGTTGCTCCTCTGGCTGAAAGTACAGACACTAAAAAGATAAAATGGCCAACAGTTACAGACGAACGGTTTAAATGATGCCGGTGTCATGGAAACCACTGCGGTCCCTGGAGTCTCTCAAACTGTAATGTGGATGAACTATATGTTATCAATGTTATAAATATGTAATAAATGTACCACACTGTTCGTATTAAAGTGGATATCTTTATTACTGTTGAACTGTCAATTTAATTTGGTCAGCAGCACTACTACTTTAATTTAGGCTAACTATTTCAACCATTCATCCATTACTTTTAGCTAAACATTTCAACCATTTATCAATTAACATACATTACAGTTAGCTTTCTATTTCAAACGATCCATTACTCGTAGCTAATTGCAGAGTACGAACCCCCTGAGGTACAAGTAGCCTGACCCTGGTTGTGAATCACTGTCTGAATCCAACGGTTGGTTATTGCCGGCTGTACATACAGCCCCACTTGTTTGTAAAGCACTTTAACTCTAAATTAACTTATTTTAAACCCTGTCAGGTCATATCGTTAGCTAGCAGTTAGCTAGTTTCAGCCATTACAGCGGGCTGAGATGTTACAATTGAGTTTGATCGGTCAACGTTTACTTAGACACAATGGAGATATCAATGTCTACGGTCAACAAAACTGCCCTTAAATTGAGAGTGTAGGCTGCAAGCTGTAGGTGATTTCAACATATTGACTTCAAAATTTGACCGATGGGGAAAACACATTGCTGAGAACATAAACCATGCGACAGGTCTCTGAAATGTGTCGTACTGAGAGTACTAAGCTGGAGAACATAGATACTGTGAAATAAGACAACACTTTTAAAGGTTCGTTTCATCCTAACTTTTCTTTCTTAATAGCTTAATCATGATGTTTTGTTTACGTGTCCACACCATGATAGATAGAACCTAGTTACTGTATAATCACCTATAAATAATGTAATGAGGTGGGAATTCATTCAGCATGAAGGCGGACAGATTGTCTTTTGTTTAATCAGGGTCATCTTGATTTGCGGTGACCAGTCGTCCATATTTAGATGTTTCCTTCACTTGGGGAGGAGTTGTGTGGTGCTCAGTGTCACTTGGTCATGAGTCACTAAACGACGAGTGTGTGCTGAGAAGTGAACATTGTGTAAGATTAAAAACATAAAGACGTTTACAGAAAAGAGCAGTAATGACAATAATTATTAAACTGTTTATGAAGTCAGGACTAGTGATACAGGCGTTATTAGTTAAGTACAGGCAGACAGCAGAGTCACAACATTTATAAATGTTTTTGTTTTTTATTTCAGAGAATCATAGAAGAAAATCTCACTTTAAGCATCAGTGCGCACAGATCACCTAAAATCAGACGAGTATTTCAGTGATCTATGTCATTAGAATAATTATATATATGAGGAGTCAGTCGTAATAAGACTGGCTGTCGATTCTTCTCTTGTTTCTGTCAGCATCGGTTGTAAAGGAGCTGTGTTCTGTGTCTGTTGTTACCTCATGTTGTTTGTCAGCATTAATTAACAGACAAACTACCGTCCTGGTGTGAATGAAACCTGTTGACAACCCATCACACTTCAGGGTGGAGCTGGATCACTGGGCGGGTTCACACATCATGAGCCCCTCTTTGTTTATTCATGTTGTGAGTTAGAACATTTAAGAAGTGTCTTCTCTCTGCTGCTTCATGTTAGAGATAAGATAAGAAAGTCCTTTATTGGTCCCACAAGAGGAGACGTTGCAGTGTTGCAGCAGCCAACGGGACCAGGCATCAAGATATGATGGAAATAAAAGAGTTAGGAGTGAAGAGACAAAGTGAAGCGCCTGACTTCATATTGTTGCACATTGGAAATGTGAAATACTGATATAAGTTTTTCTTTTGTTCTGTACTTGTCACCATGAGCAGAACAAGCATGATTTCAATATGAATGTTGTGATTATCATGAAGAAAGTTAAAGACAGAACAGAAGAAGTTGATCCTGTAACTGTGTTCATGCTTCATGCTCAGAGGAGGAAGGTTTGTGGAGAACATTATGTGCTGCTACGCTACGCTAACAGTGTTCCTGTTAAGCTGTGATAGGATCAGTGGAGGCGACGCCCAGTGAGAGCTAACTGGTCTCCTTTGTGTCATGAACTCGCCGTTCTGAGATATGAAGATGAGAAACTCTGAAGTAAGTGAGGAAGAAGAGCTGATGTTTAGAGACAGATGTTCACTCTTCATGTAGAAGCTTTATCTCTGTGAAGATGACGAGCTGCTTCTTCATCCCTCCTCTGACTCATGCAGACAAATACTCATCATATCATATGTCCAGGACCCCTTCAGAATAAATAACAACAACGAGAAAATTTCGCAAGAAATTTTGACAGTGTGGCTTCTACTGCCCGAAGACGTCGCAATATATACAGTAGCTACACACGCTGATGTTACCGGTAGTATCGTTGATGTTCGATTGAGATATCGCTTCTCTCTTTTCTGCATTTTAGATTCATACTCTTGGATTGAATCTTGTATTCGTGATGGACAGTCCACAAATGGCCCCCGTCATTTCTGTACTGGACATGTACATCTTTGTTTGAGAAGCCTTTGGAAATGATGGGAGCTAACGCGCCCATCATTTCTGTACAAACCTCATTCTGAGCTTCATGTTAAGATACAGTTACTCTATGGGGCTTTTATTTTGAAAGGGTGGGACTGGGTGGGTGAGAGAGGGGGAGAGGAGACATATTCATAATGTTTGACACACAAACACAGAGGTTATTAAATGACAGGCTTCATCACAAGCATTCCAGTTAGAATTCACTCTCTGGAGCTTTTATTTTGAAATGGGAGGGGGGGGGGGGGTTCTCTAAAGATATCTAATGCTGCGTTCACACCAAACGCGGCGCGAATTATTCGTGGGAGTAGATTACATACAAAGTCTATGCACAGACGCGATGAGACTGGCGCGGCGCGAATTTGCGATGGCGCGGCACGATGGATGCGAATTTGCGGCGCTGGATTATTAGTATGATTAAGCCCGATGGATAATATACAGTGTGCTTTGGCACAGGCAGTTTTACTACCGGCCTGAAGCCCCCCTAAAATAATTTGGCATTATTGGATTTTAAAAAAAATATATATATATATTTTTTTTTTGGTGATGTCATTAAATTAAACTATTGTTTCTCACATGGACAAGTTATTTATAACTCTAACATGCTACATATGTGCGTGCGTTCTGGTTTGTATGTTTTCTCCCCCTTCAAATTACAATCCAACAGCCTCTCATCATACTCAACGATATAAAGTTGACACTGTCAGGTCCATTCTCCATCCATTGTGTGCGGTCCCTTTAAGAATCAGGATTTGGGAGTGACGCGGATATGAAAGCTAGTTTATCCGTTTTTCCTTTACAAGCAGGAAAATTATTTCTCTCTTTATTTGAGAAAAGTTCATATTTGTGTTGTCAAATTTCACTATGACCCTGAAATTCTGTCTCTTGTGTTATCATACACTGAATGCAAGCAAAACTACAGAGCAAAATCACACTCTTTCTGATTGAACCAATCTATGAACTGTCTGAAACAATGGACATCCACGGCCCCAAAAAAAATTTGCCATTCCCCTTGGGGCTAAGCCCCCCCTTCCTTTGAATCCTAGAAACGCCCCTGTCCCTCATCTAAGAAATGTGCAAATGACCGGAGTTACTGCTGACATGAGTTGCTACAAAGACAAAATTACGGAATTGCTGCTGGAGTTTGAGCAGCGGTTACAGGTCTTTGGTGAGCTTGAGACCGAGTTTGCAGTTTTTCGCTCGCCATTTACAGTTCGGGCTGCGGATCTGCCCGTCGACATACAGCTTGAGATAATTGACTTACAATGTGATCAGGATTTAAAGAACAAATTTGCCTCGTCGGACTTGGACACATTTTATCGGTATCTTTTGCCAGGGTGCCCCAAATTGACAACCCTGGCAGCAAGCGTTTTGAGCATGTTTGGGACCACCTACCTGTGTGAACAAGTGTTCTCTGTAATGAACATCACAAAAACAAAGCTTCGCTCAAGACTCACACACAAGCACTTGAATGATCTTCTTAAATTGGCTGCTACTCAGGATTTTAAGCCTGATATTGATGCACTTGTGAGGGCTAAAAGATGCCAAGTTTCAGGAGAAAATTAATTGGTGAGTTGACCTACTTCATGTAAGATAAGGCTTCAGACACTTTTGCATCCTGAAGAACACAGTTCTGTGAAAATGAAAACGTACCGTTTGTCACGGGGCATGATGAGGACTCAAACGCAGACAGTCAGGTGTGGTGAAAAAAGGGTTTTAATGAACCAAAAACAAACAGGGAATCCAAGGACAGGACAAGACAAGACAAGACACGAGGGGGGAAATCCGGCAGGACAAGGCAGGGCAGGCAGACTGGGAAACCGGGAACAGGTCGAGCAAAACGGGCGGGTAGGTAGGAAACAAACAATGATCTGGCAGTGGGTGTGTGTGAGGCAGCGGTTTAAATAGTGAAGGAGGCAGAGTGAGCAGGTGAGCGTAATGAACTGATGAGGTGAGTGAGGAGCTACAGAAAGAAACACACAAAGACAGAACACACAGGGCAAAGCCTGATCGTGACACTGTTGAAATATTTGACACTGAACATTGTACAATATAATGTCAATCAGCAGCTTCAGTACAAAAGAGTTTGGTTTGATGGAACACTGTGGCTCATGCACTGTCCCAACTTTTTTTCAATGTATAAATTCTATATTTTCAAGGCAAGAGGGGTAACTTACCTCCTTACTTAATAGCTACCACGTTTGTCTGTATTTTGTGGTGAGTCAGTTCAGGTGTACAGATAACTACACAGATGTGGAAATGTTAGTAAGTACATTTAAAATATTTTTTAGATCTTGAG